CACACGTGCAAGGGTGCGCACCGTGGGCACGCGTGAGACAGGGTGCGAGAGCCAGCACGTGCAGAGCCTACCTAGCAGGTGCGCTGGGCTCCTAACCTCAGCATCTCTTCCCTGAGTCAGACCGGCTGGCAGCCGCCAGCTCCCACGACCTGACGCATCTGGCAGGTCTTCACAGACCCGCCGGGTCGGCCACACCCTGTGTGCACCAGACCCTCCCAAGTTCAATGGGGAAGGTATTTCTATTTCCTGGTTAGACTGACAGAGGTCGGGGGGAGCTGGGGGGCACCCCAGGCCCCAGGATATAAATGCAGTTAGAGTCCCCTGGCCCACCCAGCCTTGAAACCAGGCACTTGTTAAGTAATTGTTCAAGGAAGAAACGGGGAAAGGACTTTTTTTTTTGACATAATGTAAGGCTTTAATAACTCACTCAATTTTGGATTCCCATCATTCACATTCTCACAGCATGAGACGGCTCTGTAACACGGAGGGAGGAGGAGACTTCTGAGAGAGGGAGAGACATGAGGAGGGAGAAAACTCCTACAGATATAAAAGTGCCAGGCTCGTCCTGGCTGGTGTGGCTCAGTGGACTGAGTGCCCACCTACAAACCAAAAAGGTCACTGGTTCGATTCCCAGTCAAGGCAAATGTCTGGGTTGCAGCCTAGGTTCCTCAGTGGGGGGCTTGTGAGAAGCAACCAATCATTGTTTCTCTCCCTCTCTTCCTCCCTCCCTTCCCCTCTTTCTAAAAAAGTAAATAAATAAAATCTATTTTTTTAAAAAAAGCGCCAGGCTCTGTGAACCACCAGAGCTCCTCCCACACGGCGGGCACCACACACGCTGGCAAAGAGAAACCGACCAGAGCTGACACTGGGCGAAGAAAGTTCCAAGTCACGCCGTCTTTCCGCCGGAGACTGACGGAGCCAGCCTGGGTCCTGCTGGGGTGCCCCGCGGGAATCAGACAGGCCCCGGGGCCCCTCGCCCCACCCTCGGTCCAGAACAGCCCAGGGTGCAAATGCAGCACAGGCGAGGGAGGTGAGGGGGTGTCAGATCTAAGGCAACCCCCACCCCGCGGACTGGAGGAAAAAGCACTCAGCGTCCATTGGCGTCTCCTTTCCCATCTTTAAAGTCCATTCACTCAGAAGATACTAATGAGAATGGGCAGGCACCCCCCTTCCACCCCACGTTTAGCGGGTTTCTCGCCCCCTTTCTCCTGCCCCCACCCCGTTCTCCCCCATCAGAGAGCAGACTGTGGACCAGAAGACCCCGGAAGGGGCTGGGAGGAGGGAGATAGACCAGCAGTGAGGACTTCCGGGGCAACCTCGTCTTTCTGGGGTTCAGTGGTGCCGGGGGCGGTGGGGGTGTTGGCGCGGCTCCATGACATCATCGCTTCGGATTCTTAATAAAAAGGCAGCTCTCTCCCGCCGCCCAGCGCTCCTCTCCCCACCCTCTCTTTGGGGAGTTGAAACGCAAGCTTTTAAAAATGCTGCAAACACATCGCGGCTGCACGTTGCGATGCAGCGCTCGGGTCCAGCCCTGACGTGGCTGCTCTCATTACCGCCCCCTTGGAAAGAGGCCCCTGGATGAGGTTCCGGGGTAATTGAAATTTCCTGTCTAACCTTGACCACGCCGCCAGCTCACGTTACCGCTCCGGCCGCGCAGGGCAGGGTCAGTTTCTCCCGGGGCCTTCTCACCCTGCGCTGAAAATCAGGCCACTGTTCTGTGGGCGCAGGCTATCCAGTAACACGCTTGGACGCGGAGAGGGAACTTTCTCTGGCGGGGCTGCCGCGGCCTCTGGCTTCCCATACACGTTAGAAAATTCTTTCTCCTACAGCTCGCCATGGAGGAGCCAGGATACAAAGACCGATGACCCCCCCTACCCCCACCCCCACCCCCAGAACCCAACAGGCTCACAGGCCAGGGAGGATCCAGTTTTGGGTTGTTGTGGGGTTTTTTTTAAAGCCTGAAAGTGTAAGAAATCCCCAGGCAAAATCCTTTTCAATACGAGAAATCACATTCCAAGATCAAAGCGCAACTGGCAGGTATCTGCCCAAATCCATCTGGCCCCGAACAAAAAGAGGGAGCGCGCTCCATATCGGTCAAGTGAGGTTCCGCGCGAACTCCGCGGCGACATCGGCCTCTGGATCTGGAAACTGATTACAAGTGAAATTCTTGCTGAAAGTAATTGCGCCGCCGGCACCAGCGGGGGTGGGGGCTCTGTGGGCGTGGCTTCGTCTTTGTACTTAGAGGCGACTCCATCGGAGTCCGGATTGGGCTTTGGAAAGCCTGATGCCCCTTCTGTTGGGGGTGGGATCACTCTGGCTTTGGTTGGGTCTCTGCCGTGCCTCACTCACTTAGATAACCTAAGCTGGTTAAGAGTCTGATGTTCCTGCCCTGGCTGGTGTGGCTCGGTGGATTGAGCACCCGCCTGTAAACCACAGGGTTCGATTCCTAGTCCGGGCACATGCTTGGGTTTTGGGCCAGGTCCCCAGTAGGGGGCGTGTGTAAGAGGCAACCACACAATGATGTTTCTGTGTCTATCTCTCCCTCCCTTCCCCTCTCTCTGAGTCTGACCTTTCTGAAGGCTCCTTGGAAGGACCTGCCCCTTACCCCCCGGGAGGGGGAGAGGAGACAGTCATGATGCCCCATGGTCTGGGCATCTCTGCTTACTCCCAGGATGGGTTGAATAGGGTTCCCCAAAATTCATGGCCATCCAGAACCTCCTCCGAATGTGACCTTCATTGAGTCTTTTGAGTCTTTGCCGATGGAATAAATTTAGATGAAGTCACACTGGGTGAGGATGGCTAGTGACCACGTGACCGTGGGCCTATCAAGGCAGAGCCCAGAGCCCTGACATGCCTGTGGTCACTAGGTCAGAGCAGCAGCGGTCAGGGCATCACCCGCTGCCACCCCCTGGTTTCCTGCCTCCTCAAGGCCCCTCTGAGTGGCCATTCAGCTCTGGGATCTTCTGGACCTTCTCTGCCTGAGCCTGTTGGCCCAGAGGGGCCGCCCGCACCCTGCTGCCCTTGCCCGGGCTGGGGCAGGCCGCGAGCCCCCTCCCACCCAGGAAGAATGCTGTGGGGCTTGGCCTTTGGGGATCTGCCTGCAGCATAAGACCAGAGGTGTGTCTCTCCACTAGAGCCGCTGCCATGGTCCTGGCACCGAGGGTGGGTGGACACTACAACTAGAGGCATCCAAGTGACAGCATCTCCCAGTCAGAGGAGCCCCTCACGCTGGTTGGGTAGGTAAGGCAGCATGTCGGCCGCCTCCCAGGTGCGGGAAACTGGGAGAAACACCTGCAGGGGAAACCGACGAGCTCAACTAGAGGATGCTGAGTTTTTGGAAGCTCAGGGCTGTGGTAGGGTTGCGGGGAGGCGGTCTTGGACAGGAACAGTAGTTGGCTTAAGAAAAAGAGAAGCTAAGCACAGCTGGCATCATCTGAGCACCTAGATCCAGCCGCACCTGACCACACATCCCTTGGTACTGTGGGGACTCCCTTTGTTACTCGTATGTAGGCAGCCAGCTAACAGATAATCCTCTCAAAGACTTTTCTGCACGAAGAAAAACATAGTAATACGAACAAATAAAGGAAACCCAAAGCACCGCAAAGCAACCTAAAGGTTGCCAGATGCCGTCCCCAAATTCAGCTGGACTGGGGGACCTGCTGGTCCTCCCACGGAAGGCTCAACCCCAAACAGATCCAAGGGGCTGCGACAAACCGCTCACCCCGTTGTTCTTCCACCTCTGCCCCAGTCGCCCGCACTCTTTTGCCCCAACTCAGCTTTCCGTAACTGCCCAGACTAGCCCGGCCAGGTGCGGACACCAGAGGACAGTGCCTGGAAGCGAGGGACTGGGAAGTCGGGGTGTCAGGCGAGCGGGTGAGGCATGGTGGCCTCTGGGTGCCAGTCTCTGCTGACCCCCCCCACCCCCACAGTGGCCGGTCTGGACAACAGCCCAGCCTCAGGCTGGGGCCGGGGCCCTGGCACACAGCGCCAGCCACACGGCGCCCTTAAATAGACCCTGCACGCAGAGGACAAACATTCCAAGCGCTTTTTAAAACGCCTCGAGCATGACCTGGCCGGCAGCCTCTGCTCCCCCAGGCATTTTTCTGGTCTTAGCTATATTCTGGGAATAGCATTAATAGCTCGGCTAGGAGCTTACAGTGTGTAAAATAATTTATGGCCCTGAAGGGCAGGAGCGACTACTGCTCCCACTCTTCAGATGAGGAAACAGAGGCCTCGGAGGCTCCCGGGCTACACGGCAGGACTGGCGGGGGGCTCTCTACACTGACTTCCCCGCCTGGTGGGGCCTACCCAGCAGGGCAGGAATGAGCCCCCAAGGGAACTGGCTGCCAGCGGCCATGTCTGGCTCCGACGCGCGCCAACAGACAAGGCGACACTCCGGGAGGCTCCGGGGACCCGCTCGATCCAAGAACGTTCTGATCTTCTGCGAAGACTTTAACCAAATCCCAGTTCTCAGCCTCTGTTGGTCCATCGGACCCCGCGGGACAGCCAAGGATAACTTTCCCCTTTTATTGTAAAAGATAAAGGACAACGGGGCTGGTTTCTCCCTGGGGAGGTGAAAGCTGGCAGGTGAGGTGCGGCGCGTCTCGGTTTCCTAGAAGTTGTGCTCTGAGCAAATCTCGGAACCAGCCCGCGGAGGGGGCGGGACCCGCGGTGGCCGCCCCGGAGCCCGCGAGTCCGGGACAGCAGGACCCGGGACTCGGGCTCGGCTGCCCCGGGGAAGTGCTGAGCTGGGTCTGCGCGTCCTGCTCTGGGTGCCCCCAGCCCAGTCGGGTCCCCGCACGCGCCGGCACAGACTCGGGGGGAGGCGCACGATCAGGAGCGTTGCGTCCAATGCCAAGAGCACTAAGGCACCCTTGCACTACCCTGTCCTGTTCCCCCAGACCCCCGGCCCGAAAGAACCACCGCCACCTCCCCCTTCTCTCGCTCCCAGGTCCCGGGCTTGGGGCACTCGGGGCGCACGGCGCAGGGCGGGCGCTCACAGTTTGAACATCCTCTCCAGGTCCTTGATGAGGCGGCGGCTGAACTCCGGGAACTCGGTGTAGGGGTTGAAGACCTTGCAGCGGCGGGGCCGCGCCGCGCCCTCATTGATGTCCAGCCGGCGGCTCAGCTGGGCGCTCAGCTCCGCGTCGGCGCTGGCGGTGGGCGCGCTGGCGGTGGGCGCGCTGGCTGGCAGCTCCGGCTCGGGCGCGGGCTCGGGTGCGGGCTCCGGCGCGAAGGCGGCTTGTGATGCGGGCTCCAGGCCGCCCTCCTGCGCCTGCTCCCGCTGCAGCCTCCGCTGCAGCTTGCGCGCCAGCTCCTCGCTGGCCATAGCGGCGGGTCAGGGACTCGGGGACTCGGGACCCGGCGCGGGGACTGGGCGGGCGGCGCGCTCCTGGCGGCTCGCGGCGCTGCGACGCTCTGCCCCGGCGGCGGGGACCCGGCGGTTGGGTGGAGCCACCGTCTGGGGACGGGGGAGGGCGGGGCGGAGCCGAGGCTTTAAGGAGGCGCCAGGGCTTGGGGACCGCCCGCCTCGCCGCAGGCCACAGGTGTCTGCGCGTCCCGGACCTGGTCCCGCTCGCCCCTTCCCGAGGCTCCGGACCTCGGACCAACTCGGACCTCGCCGCCGGCGCCCGCTCCGGGGCGGGGGAGGGGGGGCGCTGCAGCGGGGAAAAGTTTCACGGCCGTTCGGGCGGTTCCTTTCTCTTCCCCCAGAAAAGCCCCGACTGGAGGCGCTCGCGGCCCAGACCGGCCAGGGGTGGGGGGAGCCAAGCGCCCCGGCGTCACCCGCGTGTCCCCACCACTCCGATTCCGAGGGTGGGACAGGGTGGCACCCACCGGTTCCGAGGTCTGGGGGTGGGGGGCGCCCGCAGGGAGCGCGGGGCGGGGCGAGCTGCTTTTCAACCACGCTTGGAAAGAAATGTTTGCACAACACACTGAAAATATTAGAAACAAATAAGCAAACAGAAAAGAGGGCCAGGAGCGCGATGAAACTTGCGGCTGTCTTGGAGGAGACCTCAGCACCGCTTCAGGGGCTCTTTCTGGGAAACACACGGAAGGGGAAAAAAAAAAAAAAGAAGCTTTAAGTTGAAGAAGCGATTCGGCATTTTCGACAAGAGGGTAAAAACAAGTACCGTCGTCATGCTCCCTAAGGAAGGCTGCTGCGGGCGGCCATTGCATCAGCCGAGCGCTGAGAAAAGTCTTGTAAACACAGGTCTGCCCCTGCCCGGAGCGACGCTGCTCTGGCGGCCTCTGGGGCGCCTGCGAGCCGGCCCGGCTGGGGGCGCCCGGCTGGGGGCGCCCCGCTGCGGGAGCCGGACCCCGCCGGCCGCGGGCGCGTCTGTGGAGGACACGCCGAGGCGAGTCCTGCAGAAGCTGTGGGCACCTGTAAGGGTCTAGGAGGGGGAGGGACGGGTTCTTCTATTAAGGTATTAGTGAAAATATTACGTTTAGAAAGAAAGGTATCAAATGGGACCTTTTTAACATCCCTACTGAGCAATTGCATTGGATGGGTAACCGGGCAAGGACACGCCTGGTTGGGGCGGCGATACCGGAACAATGCCCCGCGGGACCGGAGGGTGCCAAGCACGGGGCTCAGAGCAGACCCACGCAGAAGCTGCAGAAGTTCCTCCCCCTGGTATCAGCACCCACCTTCCTTTCCTCCCACTCCTCCCTATAGATGTTTCCAGAAGGCCCTCCTCGACTTCTTCCTTTTCTCCAGGGACATCTCCTTGAGGGCACATTTCAGGGCTTTTTAGGGGTTCTGTTTGGGAAACCCTGCAGGGGAATGCTCAGGCATTCTCTAAATGGGTTTTTTCACCTTTCTCCTTGGGGGGGGGGCGCAAGCCAGACCCTCCCACCACCCCAGGGTCGCCTGGCCTGGCCGTAGGAAAAGAATCCCCACTCCATTTTCTTCCCACCCTTCAACTCTCGGTTCTGCCTGCTGAGTGGGTTCCACTCTCTCCCACCCTTCCTGCGTGGAAGGGCAATGCAGCTGACCCCTGACCGACACACGTACGAACTGCACAGCCCACTGGTGCGGGGATGTTTTCCAATAAATGCAGTCCACATATTTTCCTTATGACTTTCTTGATAAGTTTCTTTTTTCTAGCTTTGTTTACTATAAAAATATATAGCATATAATACACATAATATGTGTAAATCGACTGGTTATGTTATCAGCAAACAGTAACTAAGTTTGGAGGAATCAAAAGTTATACACTGCCCTGGCTGGCATAGCTCAATGGATTGAGCACGGGCTGCAAACCAAAGCATCGCAGGTTTGATTCCCAGTCAGGGCACATGCCTGGGTTGCAGGCCATGGCCCCCAGCAACCGCACATTGACGCTTCTCTCTCTCTTTCTCCCTCCCTTCCCTCTCTAAAAATAAATAAATAAAATCTTTTTTAAAAGTTATACATGGATTTTCAATTGCAAGGGGGTTGGCACCCCTAACCCCCGCCTAGTTCAAGGTCAGCTGTAGTTGGCCATCAGGGCCTTTCTCTTCAGGACCCCAGCCTCTGTCCATCTGTCCTTCATTCACTCACCCAGGCAGGAAGAATTGGTCCAAAAGAGTGCTAGCCTACGGAAGTAGAAAATGTGACTGATTTTACCTGTAATTTTGTATTTGAAATATTCTAGTAGTCACATCTTTAAAAGTAAAAGAAAGAAAAACAAGTGACATTCATTTTAATATATTGTCTTTAGCCCATTACCTGCCAAATATCATCACCTTGACATACCATCAGGATGGGAACATTCACGAGATACTTTGCGTTCGCGTATTTCATACCAAGCCTTCAAAACCCGGGGCATGCTTTACGCTCACGGCTCATCGCGATGCGGACGAGCCATGTCTGCCACCCCCGGCGGCCCTGCGTGGCTGGTGGCCATCCTCTCGGGTGACTGGGCTGAGGGGCAGCCTAGACCCTTGGCTGGGTTAGAGGTTCTTCCGCTGAGAAGTTGCTCTCCCGCCTGTGTCCCGCCCCCACTCCTTCTGGTCTGAACCACCCACGGCCCCCTGCTGATGGGAGTGTGTGGTTATCTTGACAAGATATTACCCTTCACTGAATCCCCCACATTCTCTGAGAGTCTTTACGTAAAGCCCAGGATAAGAGAAGCTTTGGGGCTCCAATAGTAATAAACTATTCTGGCTCTCTCCTTCAGGTAGAGCCGGGGGCCCTCTGTCACGGGGCAGAGGTGGGAGGAGGAGTGGAGTGGTATAAATCCGGACTCTGTCCCTCAGCGGCTGTGTGACTTTGAATAAATTCCTTAACCTCTCTGAACTCCCGTTCCCTCATGTGTACACAACAGAGAAGAGACTGCCTACAGGACGTACAAAGACGTGGTGATCGTCAATGGCATGTAAAGCACCTCAGAGGAGTTGAGTCACCTCTTGCTGTAGGCTCAGATGGGGGTGCAGGAAGTGGGGGTTCTAGCCACAGGGCATGCTCTGTGCCCTCCAGCTTTCCCCTGGCACTGACTGAGCCAGCTTGGGGGTGGGGGTAGAGTGGTGGGGGGGAGCACCTTGCAGCCCTCACCCACCTTCCTGCTGTGCAGATAAGCAGCTCAGACCTTCAGGATTTCAAATGCCCGCACCTGTCCCTGTGGTGTGGCGACACCTGGGAAGCGTATCACTGCCACACCAAGGATGTCCATTCTGAGTTTTAAAAAACCTGGCTCCTTTACCCACTCCAATCTGGCCAAGCGAGCAGCCCAGGAATTCCTCTTTTTCTCCTCCTCTCCATCCTCACTCTTCCCTCTTAAAGAACCCCCACTAGGGTTCCTCCTGTATTCTTATGCAAATCACTGCATCTCTCAAGCCCCGCCCCCAAACTTGGGTCTGGGGCTGTCTGCGCATGCCCAAGGATTCAGCTGGTGCCTCCTCGGGGGTTTAGACCCAGGACCAGTGAGTGGGTCTTGAGATGAGCAGGGATGGTTTGGTTCTTCCAGAATCTTTTGTGTGACAAACCCATTTACAGTTTCCTTTTAAGAGCGGCCCATACCAAGGAAAAATAGTGAAAGATTTAATGTGTTAACTAGAAGAAGGTAATCTTCAACAAAGCCCCCCCCAAAAAAAAAATCCAGAATGGGGAGCTCCTACAAAGTAAGAACAAAAAGAAAGACAAACCAATGAAAAATTGGGCAGCGGGCCTGGGCACCACTGCCAACTCCCTAACCCGGTCAGACCCGGCCCAGCCCTCGGACGGACGGTGCCCGGTGGGTCGAGGAAGTCTGGGGGCGGTGTTCACTATTCCCCCACCACTTGGCTCTCGCATCATGAGGAGACCCGGTCTCGGGTCCAGTTCTGCAGAAGGGAACCTCAAGCTATTACCCCGACATTCCCAGCAAGCAGACGGGAAACAGCTCTGACTGCCGATCCCCCAGGATCCACGGTCTCGAACCCTTTCCCGAGAGGCGGGCACACGACCTAGGGACTGAGTTCCCTCCCTTACGTACAATCAGAGTCAAACAACCAGACGTCCTCCCGAGGCCGTGGCTGCAGACTGACCCAACAAAGAGCCAGCCTCCGGGGCAGGTGACAGCTCTGTGTGATTGGAAGTATTTTAGGCAATTCCTGTATCTTGCATAACAATGCTTTTATTTTCACCAGTGAGAGCCCATGTTTGGCATTCATCAGTTTAATCAAGGAGCCACTATGTTCACTGGTATTTTCTTTAAAAAAAATTTTCTGACATCACTATGCCAATTAGCAAATCGAGCTTCAGTGATTGATCAAGGGAACAGATAACAGCAAGATGTATGGGCCACATCTGGAGTGGGGCCCTTCTGACATCACGCTGGCTGATGCCCCCGGACTGTGTCCTCTTCTTTAAAAAATTTACGTAAAGTCCACAAAGCACGTAAGTCACTGTTTTTGAAGTGTGCAATTCCACGGCCTCAGTGTGTTCACCGTGCTGTGCCACCGTCACCTCCCTGGTGGCAAACGTTTTCGTCATCGCAGAGGAACACCCTGAGCCCTTTAAGTTGCCACCCCACCCCACCCCACCCGCCTTCCTCCCAGGCCGGGCCGCTGTGTCTGAAAGAAGCCAGGCTCTGCTCACTTTTAATAGCACCGAGGAGGCTCACCCAGGTTGTGGCTGGTGTCAGTGCGTCATCCACTGCGTGGATGGACCATGGCTTGTTTATCCTCTCCTTTCTTTTTTTTTTTAAGATTTTATTTATTTATTTTTAGAGAGGGAAGGGAGGGAGAAAGAGAGAGAGAGAGAGAAACATCAATGTGCGGTTGCTGGGGGCCGTGGCCTGCAACCCAGGCGTGTGCCCTAACTAGGAATCGAACCTGCGACACTTTGGTTCGCAGCCCACGCTCAATCCACTGAGCTACGCCAGCCAGGGCTATCCTCTCCTTTCTTGATGGATGTTGGGGTTGGCTCCACCTTTTCGCTGTTGTGGAAGGTGCTGGAACTGAATGCAGGTCCCATGGCCCCCCAGGGGGAAGGCCAGTGCTCCAGAGGCCCAAGCCAATGTAAAGGACAGCGGTTTATTTCCGGGTGCCAGCCACCTGGAACACGGGGGACTCGGGTCTCAGAGCCCATCTCCCCCTCTCAGTGGAGGCAGGGGTGTTCGTAAGGAGGGAGGGGAACAGGACAGAGATCAAAGGAGGG